GAGCGATAGAGAGAGAGAGAGAGAGGGAGGGAAGAACGAGGAGAGACGGAGAGGGAGAGGAGAGAGAGAGAGAGAGAGAGAGAAGAGAGAGAGAGCGAGAGAGAGAGAGAGAGAGAGAGAAACTCCCTTACCTGCATCAGCTCTACTGTCCTTTGTCTACGTGCTGTCATCTCAATACTGGCTTTTTTATAGAAGAGACAGTAGGCCTCACACTTGGCCACAGTCTCGGGAGAAACTTCAGTGACATACTGGTCATCGAACTCATACCATCTGCCATTGCTCCAGTTCTGGCAGTAGGATGTATAATGTCCCCCTCCTGCCGTGCCATGGTGGCAGATGACAGCATAGAGGTCATAAGTAACCACCTCCGATGTGCAATCTGGTGAAGGGATTATAATGAAGTATTTTGACATGCTTAGCTATAGTTTTACAAATAGTTGATTAAGAATTTGAATGTGTTACTAAATAATGACACAGTTGTCTGCAACAGTAATTCTATAAAAGCTTTAGAACTAAACTGACCTTTGTGTAGAAAAGGTGTGAGATCCAAGCCATGCAGAGGAAATGACACATACTGGCTGATCTTGGAACTGAACATGTACTCATGGCGGAACCTCTTGAGGTGTATAATGAGCACTTCTGGCAAGTGCACAACCTTGGAGTATTTGACACCATTGCGGAGTTTGCCACACTTCTCACATGAATACATGTTGTCCCCCTTAAGCTCATCTGCACTGAAGAAGGCAGCCAGGCAATGATGTAGCGACACAGCCGGACCCCATAGCCACGACCGCAGCCAAACCCACATCCACCACAACCATCTGAGGGGAACATGGTACTTGAAATGATAGTTACTGATGTTGAGAGGGTTTGAGATGAGTATCAATATCATCTTCTAGAAAAGCTTGTTGAGTGAAGCATGATATGAAATAATGAATCTTTTGAAAGATGATCCAAATACAAAAAGCTAAAAATTTAATAATAAGAGCCTATACAATCTATACCACTCAAGGCAGACCATTAAGCATCTCACAGGTAATTCAAGGCTTACAAAGCTCAAAAGCCAATGCTACTTTTAAAGGCAAATCCTGCATCTTCCAGAATATAAAGCAGCATAATAGACTTATGAGCTGCCGAGTACCATTCATTCTCCTCCCCGACCCCAGTCAGTAGACTCACCCATCTGTGGTGGCATCACAGGAGGCTTTGGCAAGATGGAGGCTGCTACTGTTGTTGCCACCCCCACCGACCTGGTGCTGCATCTGTGTGACAGATGAATGCTGAAGGATACTGAGCTGGTCACTGCTTGGGATGGGAAGGCTGAGGTCCTGGAAGGTCTCTTTGCGTGATGAGATGGTGTTACACGTCAGGCACTGAACTGAGCTGACGATAGTGCCGTCGAACACGTCCGAGATGATGCTCCTGTAGAGGGGGGGCTTTTTTCTCCTTCCGAGGTTGCTTAAGGGGTTGGCCTGACCTTTGCCTGGGGTGGGTGACGTTGATGAGGCTTGGGGCAGCAAAGGCATTTAAGAAGGCAAGAAAAAAAACAGGAAAAAAAAGAAAATAGAAAAAAAAGAGTTAATTTCACCTATCTATCTCCTGGATTAACATTACAAATACAAGCTCAAAAGCCACACAAATGATTCCTTAAACAGGACACTAAAAAGGAAAAAAAAAATCTAATCCAAGAGCAATCAGAGAGCAGGAAGCAAGATTACAAGTTGAGAAACTAGACAGAGTTACTTACAAAATGTCCCCTCTCTTTTAGAAATCTAAAAGCATGATTAAGAGAAGGAAATGAGAGAGAGAGAAAGAGAGAGAGAGAGAGGAGAGAGAACGAGAGGAAGGACAGGAGTATTCTGAGAGAGAGAGAGAGAGGAGGAAGAGAGAGAGGAGAAGAGAGGAGAGATGGAGAGAGCGGTGGGGGATGGGGTGGGCCGGGGTGGGGAGGAGATGAGGGAGAGGAGAGTGGAGGTGGAGAGAGAGAGAGGTGGAGAGAGACAGATGAGAGATGGAAGGAGGAGAAGGAGAGATGAGAGGAGAGAGAGAAGAGAGAGGAGAGACTGAGATTTCCGAATGCGAGCTCAGAGAGAGAGACGAGATGAGAGAGACGAGAGAGAGAGAGGAGAAGAAGAGGAGAGAGATGAGGAGAGAGGAATAGATGAGTAGAGAGAACGACGGCTGATGAGAGAAGAGAGAGGTTGAGAGATTGTGGGACGTACTGATAAAGCGTATCACGTATCATACGCGTACGCGTACCGCCTATATTTGTTGGTTTACGCTTTGTTCTAAATATTACACCACGACTGTCTGTGCGCGCTGGGGTCGCGAGAAGGAGGTCTCGACCTTGCCAGGACCCGACCTAAAGGGCGACCTAGCGGAACCCGCTCACTTCTTTTCACTCCCTACCTAAGGTCAGAACAACGAGACCATCCGAGAAACCCGTGGAAGCTGACCGACAAAACGTGCCTGCTACCACACCAGTAACACAATAAAGAGAAACAACGGAAGATTGCGTTTCCTGACCTGTCATTCAGTATAGGGGGACTCTTTTTAAGCTTAAGGAGAGACATTATAAAGAGAGTGTGGAGAGAGAGAAAAAAAGGAGGAAAAGAGAGAAAGAAGAAAGAGAGAAAAGAGAATGAGAGAGAGAGAGAGAGAGACGAGAGAGAGAGAGAGAGAGAGAGAGAGAGAGAGAGAGAGAAGAGAGGAGGGAGAGAGAGAGAGAGAGAGAGAGAGAGAGAGAGGAGAGAGAGAGAGAGAGAGAGAGAGAGAGAGAGAGAGAGAGAGAGAGAGAGAGAGAGAGAGAGAGAGAGAGAGAGGGGTGAAGAGAAGAGAGAGAGGTGGAGAGAGGAGAGAGAGTTGCGAGAAGAGAGAGAGAGGAGAGAGAGAGAGAGAGAGAGAGAGAGAGAGAGAGAGAGAGAGAGAGAGAGAGAGAGAGAGAGAGAGAGAGAGAGAGAGAGAGAGAGAGAGAGAGAGAGAGTGTGGGAGTTACTGATAAAGCGTACCATACGCGTACCGCGTACGCCTATTGTTGGTACCGCTTGTTCTAAATATACACCACGCTGTCTGTCGCGCTGGGTCGCGAGAGGTCGACCTGCCAGACCCGACCTAAGGGCGACCTAGCTGGACCCGCTCACTTCTTCACTCCCTACCCTAAGGGTCAGAACAACGCCCTAGCTCGCCCCGACCATCCCGAGAAACCCGTGGAAGCTGACCGACAAGATACCTGCCTTGCTACCACACCAAGTAACACCTCAATAAAGAAGGAGAAACAACGAAGATTGTGTTTCTCTGACCCTGTCATTCAGTATAGTGGGACTCTTTGTAACTTCAGGAGAGACCATTATAGCTGGTGCCAGCGGTGTTTGAACTCACGTTCCTGCCTCCGCTCAAGTTCGTCGTCTGCAATCCACAGTACCGCGTAAGTACATAAGGGTCAATTTCCTTTTTCCATGTCCCCCATTTGTGTGCTACGAGCAAGCCTTACTCAGTGTATTATGTGCTTCGGTTTATAGGGAATCGGATGGTCGTGTGGTACACGCGTTTGGGGAATTATTTGCGAGTTTACAGTTCGTCTTTTCATTCGATAACGCAGCCACAATAGCTAATATCGGTAAATTTGGCGTGCTGTTTTCTAATTACTCATGAACTCTCCTCCTCCTGAGAATAATCGTGCTAAGAAGTCGTTTGTTGCAAAGGCTCTTCAGACTTCATTAGGCTTTCCCCATAGAGATTCTGACTCACCTTCTCCCTCACCATCTACCTTTGAATCAATCTCCCCCCTTTCTACTCTGCCTGCTTCTTCTGACCTCACTCATATTACAGCTTCCGTAAAGATGAATTCAGGCATGCCTACGATGTACAATGTAGCTTCAAAATTCTCAAGTTCTAACGTTTCTGTGGACCAATTCTTTGCTGATGTTGAGGACACAGTAATCCATTCAGGGGTTAGTCGAGAGTCTGAGCATTTTGCTGCATCGTGCCTCGTGGCGGCCAGGATGCGGCTCAACCACGAAATACCACGTGTGGCTGAGGCGCTGGACTCATTCTCGAGGCAAACCGATAACCATCATTTACGGTTAGTAGAGTTGCTAGAGGTGAAGCCTACTTCCTTTTCCAAAGATGATCTTTCATCCTACTTGAATAAGTTTAGGGTTAAGTTAATGCAATGGGCACAGTCCATTCCGAGCTCAGATGCGTCAGGTTGTCTGACACAATGCGTAACGCAGAGTGCATCGCATGCCGCCGTGCTCGAGCATTTTGCGAAAGCGTGGCTCTTGTCAGCTGTTTCTCCGGCTGTGCGCAAACGAGTTTGTGATAAAGTGGATAGTGCGTCATTTGCGAAGCTCCCTGAAGTTCTTGCCAATGAAATAACAGACAAAAGTGGAAATGTTCAGATAGTCGCAAATGTAGTGAATCTAGGGAAGGATAAGGGAAATGATCAGAGTAATAACAGCGCGGGGCGGCGTGACCCACGGCGTGAGCCACCAGCGCGAGCGAAGGCAGGGTATAGACGTGCTCCGCCCGCGCCCGCCGTTCGCCACGTGGAACAACCTCCGCCACCCTCGCGTGCGAGCCAAGAGTCTCCCTCTGGGCCGCAATATTATGTAGCTCCTTCTCCCCCAATTGCTGCCCGTAAACCGCACATAGCAAATTGGGCACCGAAATCTGGGCAATGTCGTCGATGTTTGAGGATGCATCGTCCGTCTGTGTGCTCCGCTAAGCCGCTATGCCCGTACTGTAACAGGCACGGGCATGCCTTTAACGAGTGCACGTGGTTCCCAGATCAGGTGGCAATTTCCCTTAAATTTATCGCGAAGTTTAACAAAGGGGCACACAACAAGAGAGTGGATAATTTTTTAGAGGAAGAAACGGGTTTATAAGCTTCCATCTGGAAGCATCCGGTACCAACAACAGGCGTACGCAGCCAGTTTCGCACAGCAGCTGAATGTGACGCAGGTAAACGTTTTGCCGTTCCGCCCGCAGGCTAATGGCGTTACGGAACGTCTTAATAGGTCTATTCTTACCATTCTGCGTCAATTGGTGGATGACAGCAAGGATGACTGGGATGCTCTTCTCCCCACTGTCCAGTCAGCCATCAATTCTACCTTTCACTCTTCTCTGGGCGATGGCCCGCACTTTCTTCTCACAGGGCAAGACAAGCGGTTGCCGTACAAACTCTTGGAGATGAAACCGCGTCCCCTCTATGCGGACAACTATGCTAATTATTTGGTTTCTCGGCAACAGCAAACATTTCAGCAGGCAAAGGCGCTTATGACTAGGTCGCGTGATAGGATCATTGAGTACCAGCATAAAAATCGCTCGCGCAGAGAGAGTATCGGAGTCGGTGCTTAGGTATTTAAGAAAAATCATGCGCATAATAGTATTCGGCCTAAGCTTAGTCCGTTATTTGTGGGACCCTACAGAGTTGTGGCAGTAAAGAACAACAAAGCAGAGTGTAAGTCTGTTGCTAATGGCTCTGTGCAGTGGTTGCACTTTAACGTACTGAAACTAGCTGATCAGTATTATCAGTGCCAGGAACCATGGGTTGTCCCCTCTCACTAGCATTCATGCTCTTGCACATGATACTGCATTCATTTCCTTCTATCAATCTTCGGGAATTAGCGTAATAGTCAGATATGATATGTAATTACCGTAGTTTTTTGTTATTCATGGTTAATTTTGATGATGCACTGTCAATTTTGCTATTTTAATGCATTTTATTGGATCACAAATGTATGTTCACACTACCTGGTTAGCATCCTACACACCTTTATCCTTAGGGAAATAGAGGGACATGCTTTATCCTTCCTTACCCCCGACCTCTTAAATTCCTGTACGTAGCCTGCCAAGGACAGTTACGTGTGTTTTTCTGCATCTACACCTTCATCTTTTCAATCTCCATCTTGTGCTCATGCTCTCATTTCTAACAGGCTTGTTACCTCCCTCTGTTCCTTCGAGGAGGTGAAAGATCAGATCTCTCCTTTTATGTTTAGCCTCTCTCAGGTAACCCTGATATATTTCTATCAGTCAACAGCCGCCACAATTGCTTGCAAAGAGATTCAGCCAGATAGGTCATTTCAGGGAACCTTTGTACTACCTCACAACTGTAGGTTAAGTTCCCTGTCATTAAAAGTTCCTACAATCAAGTAT